ATATATATATATATATATATATATATACACACAATGTATGGTAATTTTTTTTAGATTATTCAACACAGAAATTATATTTTCAGATATACTCTGTTATTAAAATTGTTGTACTTGTTCTTCTGTGAACACATTTTTGTAATTGCCTAAAGTAATGCTTGAGCAATTGACTTTATCAAGTCACTGCCTTCGATTCAGGAGGATGATGTCAGTTTTCTATTTAGATAAGTAGTGACTGATGTAATTGGTTAAGACATTACATAAAATAAAATAAACATTTGAAGTCTTAATTACAACCACACAGGCTAGTTAATTTGGCATTCTGCCATTAACTGTTTCCTCCTCAATACTAAAACCGAGTATGATGTCACTAATGAGTACAAGAATTATTATTATCAAGTCCAACCCTTCCTTGGTGTTCCAGAGGGAGCTCTCTCAGGAGAGGGTGAAAGCCAGTGAGCCGACTACGATGAAGGACGTTCAACCAATGCTGTCCAACCAGGCTCCAAAGAGTCTCGCAAGGGGTCTAAAGCAACGCAGTGGTGCCACTGCAGCACGGACTGAAAAAAAGAAAGCACGGGCTAAGATTGATACAGGCCTCAGGAAAGTAGGAAGCAAGGATGTGGTGGAGACGAAGCATAAAAAGAAAACATCTGCAAAAGAGAAGGAGAATAGACCCTTGGAGAAAAAGGTAGGATGTGTTGAGACATGGGGGCAGTATTAGATTGCTTTTTATTATTGCTTAATAAGAACAGGCTCATTTTGAGCAATAATACTTCCGTACCACTAGCAAACATGAGCGATTGTCACAGGGACAATGTCATACAGACTGCGACTACATGAACATTTCGTCATTAGCAAAACTGGGTGTTTTCTGCAATTTGAGTTTTTATGCTTAGAAAAACCATTTCATTTTCCAGATATGTGATAATAATATTATTGACATTATAAACATAATAGCACTTAATTATATAATGATTATTGATAACGATACGATGCTGTGCTACTTCTGTTGCTGTTGATGATGATGTTGATGATGGTAGCGATGATTATGGGGAGATGATAATGATATAGATGATGATGTACATAACAATGATATTGATGATGATTATGATAATTATGGTGATGGTAAATGGTGAAGATGATGATGATAATGATTATGATGATATTGGTGATGTAGATGTTAAAAATGACGATTATGACAACAATTATGATGATAATGACAATAAAATGAATTTGTCTCAGATTATTTTCCTGCCTTTCAAACATCTTCTATTTTTCATTTCATCACAGCCTACATCTAAACCTGCAAAAACCTCAACCTACGAAGATGAGGACTACTTGACAAGGGTATATGGTAAGGCAATACATTCACCTAAGAGGCGAACCATGAAAACAGGACCTTACCTCCGCTACAACTACTCGCCCCCCAGGCCAAAGAGTATGCGCCGGCCAGCAGTGCAATTAATCCAAGGTGAGTACAACAGGTAGACTGGATTCCAGTCTCTAGATTTGTTCTTAATCAGTGAAAACTTTTTAAATAAATGAATTTTGGCACCAATGGCATTCCATATTACTTATTTGCATGGCATTCCATACTACAATGTTTCTTGGTTTTAATAATGTGATATAATAATATGTAGGTTTTTATATAGCACTATATACAACTAAGTCTCAGAGCGCTTTTCCACATTTTCTAATTCTGCGATTTAAATTAAACAACAAAAAGTTTCTCTATAACGTTTATAATATTAGGAAAAACCAATAAATCAAAGTCTATTTAAAAAACAGTGCATCATTGTTATATATGAATATAGCACAGGCTTAGCCAGCGAGCCGTCCGGCTGTCTTTTGGACGGCCTAAAAATTATTTAGGACAGCCACTTTTACTTGGACGGCTTGGCCTAATCAGCTCGGCCTAGCCCAATTGGGCCTGGTATACCTTTAGCAAATTCTTTATATTCTTCAAATCTAAACTTTTGATAAAAACAACATTTATTGATTGAACGTACGTTGTTTTCGTACCAATATTCGGTGGGGGTTCCCAAAGATGGACGTGGCCCGCCTATCGGCTCAGTGCCACACCCACTGGTTTCCATTTTGGACGGCCTATTTCGTTTTTCTGGCTAAACCCCTGAAATATAGTTTTATTGTTTGTAAGCTAAATAAGGTAGGTAAGCAGCTAGTGTTGCTGTTGTTGATAGTGGTGCTGTTACTGTATTACTAACACTATATTGACATCAACATCATCATCATGATCATCACCGTTCTGTCAAACTTTGGAATAACCTACCATCAAATATTTGTAGCACTTCATTGTTCACTTCATTTAAAATATTTCAAAAATCTGATTTAAATTTGCTTCTTAATTCATATAATTTTTATTTTCATTTGAATTTTGTTTTATAATTAAGTGGTGTACCCCAGGAAGAACAATGTCTTCACATATATTAGGTATCCAGAACACTATATTCTTGGTTACAGTAACTAGTAAAAAAATATCCCTTGTTTTTTGCATGTTTTATTAAAGCAAAATTTAGTATAAAAGTCAACTTCAGAGGTAAGACACAACCCCACATACAATATACCCTCCCAACCCTCTCCTCTCCATCCCTGTCATATATATTCTTTGTGTAAAGTATGTCACACTTTAATGTACACAGTCTTTGTTTTCCAAAAATAGCTACAAATATTTTCTCAATATAAATTCAGAGATGATGATTTAAATCCCCAGTTGTAGTACATATAGAAAATAGCGTATACTTGTATCAGCAAGCGTGAATTTGATCCAAACATCATGCCTGGCAAATGGTTTCCATACATGGATTATTCCCTATCCCTAGGTTCGCAGTGACCTGATTAATCCTGTATGGAATGCCATCCATTACTAACATGATATGCCAATTTATATTTATCCCAAGTTTAAAATCGATGTTTTCCAGAAGGCATACATTCATTTCTTTCAGGAAATTGTGTCTTAATTATACTAATTATGTAAGATTATAAATCAAATATGTATAAACAAATAGATGAATATTAACCGTGTTCGAATATGGATGTGTGATATCGAAATAGAAACTTTCGTTGAAGGGCTGCTTGATACGATTATTACATCATATGTTCCTATTCGAGCACTGTTATTATAATTTATGTATTTATTTATATTGTGTTTACAGTGCTATGCAGCAAACTTTATTTGAATACGTGTATATTATAACAAGTAAACTTCATATTTTAAACTTCAGAAACACGAACAATTATTTTTTAACATCTAAACATGCACAGTGCCTTTGATTTTAGTGATATTGGTGCTTTATAAATTATTATTATTATTATTATTATTATTATTTATAATTATTATTATTTATTATTATTATTATTATTATTATTATTTTATTGTTATAATTATTATTAAATGTACTATTAGATTGGAGTGTAGTTATTTAATTATTTACTGTAGGCTTATATATCTGTATGTGTCTGTATACTTTAATCATTGAGGATTTTTTTACCTACATGTTTTAACAACTCAGTTTGCAATTCAGTTTTTACTGCCATAAACTGTTTTATGTAGATATATATATTTGATACCTAAATATATAAATTTATAATAGCAATGAATGCTCACATATGTATAATTTTGACTATGGAAAGTCTAAAATATATTCCAATGAATTTTTTTTTTTAATCCAAATTTATATGCCGCCTTCACATTCACATTCCGGAGAATATACAAAGACGCTGGCATCAGTATTTCCCTTGTCACAGGATACTTGTGGTAAAGCAGCATATTTTTGTGCAACTTTCTCTACTCCCTGGGGAGTATTCCTGGTCATGCTACTTTACATGCACAACCACATACGTTCAATGCCACACCATAACAGGGGCGGATCCAGTGGGGGGGCACAGGGTTCCCCCGTTTTGCCACTAAATTTTAAAATTTCAAGGCATATATTGAAATTAGAGCTCTTGCTTATCTATTCTGAATATGTTGTGGCCCCCCTCCCCCTGTTTTAAAAATTCTGGATCTGCCCCTGCCATAGGGCCTACTACCAGGTACAAATTTATACTACTGGTTGGAGAGAGGCAAACGAAAGTAATGTACCTTGACAAGGACACAAGTAATGCCACGAGTGTCGGTCTCGAACTTCCGATCTCACAATCAGAAGTAAAGCACCTTACACGCTGCGCCACACGCTCCTAGTTTCTATGACTCCTGTAGTCTATATCAATGCTTGTCATATATGGAATAGATTTTAGTGTTCTTAAAGTCAAAATTATTATATTTCGGAAGGCATTTCTTTATAGTTATTTATCTGTTTCATATCTATTTTTGTACTAGCACTTTGGATCATAGGTCATCATCAAGTACACTGCAGTACCTGATGGTGATTTATGGCCAAAAGTACTTGTACAATAAATATTTTATTTTGAGACAGGTATATATCCTGTGTTTGATTTATGCTTATATACTGACTCTGCGAGTACTCCTACCTATATATCATACAATATATATTTATTTTATTTCCTGATTACGTACCGATGCTAAAATATAATTTTAAAAAATTTATTTAATTTTGTTTTATATTATTCTATAACATTATGTATATTTATGTAAGATTACAGGTTTATTGTTAAGTAGTTTTAGTAATTTTGTTTTTTTTTGTTTTATTATTCCTAAATAAAACCAATTTTCAGTTTTTGATTGGTGTAATGTGAATATGTGTATTTTAATTTCACTTTTATTAAACTTTTTTATATTTTCATAACATGTACTGTAGTAAACTAATTAAATTACTTTACCTTTGTATTCTTTTTTATTCGAAATTTGTATATACTTGCATTTATTTTAAGTCAAAATGGCCTTGTGAAAAACACAATTTTTGTGAATCAAGTTTTTCCATTTGAAAATAAAGTTATTATTATTATTATTATTATTATTATTATGGAGATAATATTCATTTCGCTGAGAGGTATTGTTCCTGCTTCTTGTGCCGAAGACTCCAGTTCAAACCTGCCATCGAGTGTACAAAGAACGTTCATTAAGGAATGTAATTTACTATATAAACATCAAATATGAAAACAAAAATAGAAAATTTTAGAAAATTGTGATACTTGATAAATATTGGTATTCTGTTGTTGCAAAACAAATTTAAGTAATGTAAAATTATTATTAATGAGCTTTCCAAGATAATAAATATTTTGCAGTGGTTATTTGTTGATGATGTATTTATCTGTAAATTTAATTGATTGACGTATTTCTTGCATAATATTGGCTGGTTTATGATTGGTTAGTAATTGATGGTTTGTGTTGATTGGTCAGTTTTTATAATACATCGGCCTTGTTTCCGTAACACCTGAATTAAATATTAAGGAATTGTCCGTTAATTACGAATATGGCTTTGTGTGATTAAATAATGGATAATCCTTGTAGCTGCTAATTCAGGTGTTTTGGAAACAAGGCCATAATATTGGCTGTTCTTTGATGATTTGTTGATTGTTCATTGGAATGATTTACTGTCCTTGATAGTTGGTTGGTGTCATAAAACTGGTTGATGAGAGAATTAGTGTTGAAAGTGGAAAATGAAAATAAAAATGGTGGTGCTGCTGCAATGTTATAATTGGATTTTTGAACTGATGATATCATTGATGTTACATACTTATTCACGGCTTCTATTTTAGTGCAATTTTTTTGCAAAGCAAATTTTTATGGGAGGGAGGAGCAAACTTTCTCTGGGTGTCTGCACACTCATTCCCTCCCTCTAAATAAATGGCTATTTGTGACAACTTTGGATTGTGCGTGCACTGTTGTTACTGCTTTCGTATGATCATCATCATCATTTTCCACTGCTGTGCATAATCTCTATTAATAGAGTATACTTGCACAACACAGTGCTAGTAATACATTGCACCCTCCAATCCAAGACCCCTCTAATTCCGAGACCTCTCTTATTCAAGACCACTTTTTTGAAGAAAAAATAACAATTCTCAATCTTTTGACGCCCAGATAACCCTCTAAGTGGACACCAAACCCAACACCATCCCTAATTTTCAGGTACCAAAGCTGTCTTAAATTGGAAGGCGAACTGTACTCTAGTTAGCTGTTGAGCTAGTGAAATTGAATGATAAAGTTTTTGAATTGTATTGTTCAAGTTCAGTAACTAACTAGGAATTATTGTGATTTTTTTATTACAAAGCCAAAGATATTAATATTTATTTTCTTTCTAATTCTTAAGGCCCAAAAGTAAAATCAACTAAAACTCAGACACAGCCAGAGAGGGCGCCAGAGAGGGCGCCAGAGCTGGAGCCAGCTGAGCACCAATTCTATTTCAACCCAAATGTTCACCCATCCATAAACCAGCCCAGTAGCAGTGGGCAGGAAATAGAAGCACCAACCCAGGGACAGCTTATCCCGATGGCTATTCCATTAAGGGAGCCTAGAACTGGGGGTGCAGTATTACCACTGTTGATACGTAGAAGAAGAGTTGATGATGATGAAGATAGTGATGATAGCGATGACACTATAGAGGGGGCTGCTCATAGTTCTGATACCAATGTGTTTACTGAAATTGAGTCTCAATTGAAACCAAAACAACACTTAAAAATACAGGTAAAATTATATGTTATCATACCATTCATTATCTATTTATGTATTTAGACATGCATTGACATATTTTTTCCAGAAATATTGAGCAGTGATAGATATCTACAGAGCCCATTGATTGTATTAAAATAATGATGTAAAATTTTCTATCTTTTTGGTTTCAGTCAATGCCAAATATAGACATACAACCCACAAAACAACCCCCCAAAAATATAGAAATAATAGAAGAAAATCAGGAGGAACTAGAAGAAGATAAGTTGGAGGTATATTTGTGTTTTTGTTGTTGGGTGGGGAGCTCTACTGTGGCAGAAAAAAATATAAAATTTAATTCAAAAGAGCATTTGCGACCCAAGATCATAAAAGGGCTGTAAACTAGTCCTCAGGCCAAAATGAGTTTTTGTTTGGAAGCAAAGTTATGACCGTTTGAATAATTATAATCTTATCAAGTTTCTTAAATCAAGTTTTGAGAAAAATGCTTTTATTTTTGGCAAGTTTCTATTCATTTTTCACTAACTACGTGGCAGCTAATTGGCCAAAAATATAATTTTATTTTTATTTGAAATTATCATTATTGGCAGATAGCAGTTCGCTAAACAAGGTATTAAAAAAGTCTAGCCTTATAATGAAGAAAGTAATTGGTTCTACTGGATTTGAACCTAAGACCCTGGCGTTGACTGTCAAGCACTACCACATGCACACACAAAACACAGGAGAAAACACTAGGAACACTTGATACACCAAAAATTGTTGTAAATTGTAGCAGCAGAAACACCCCACAAATTTATGAAAAACAAGATCAAATCATGTAATGTGATTTCCGGATGCTGGCCATGGCACACTATGAACACTGGCCATAATCCAAATCTTATTGCCTAGATTGTCATAACTACATCAAATGTTACATCTCATAATCTAGTAACTGTAATCTATGTTCAGCTCCCCTCCCACCCCCACCACCACTAAAACTTGCCGAGTAAAGAAATTAGACTGCACATGTGGATTAACAATCCAAACAAACAGCAAAAATCCTCAACAATTGTGTTTAAAATTTTTTCTTTGTTTTCTTTATTGTGACCATGACTGTTTACTATGTAGGATGCAGCTGTACCAGGCTATGACAAGTCCCCACAGTTCCAAGATTATGTTGCTGTTGCCGATGGGCAAATGGAGGTAGACCATTGTTCTGTTATATGAATTGATCATGTGATATATAATATATGATAATATAAACGTTAAAGGTTATTCAGTTATATTGCGCAAAATACATGGTGTGCAAATATATGTTATATGGTTATGTTATAAGTGGTTTGGTGCAGGATGAACCATTCGGTTTCCCAACCTCGAGGTCAGGGTTTCAATCCCACTCTGCATTTCACTTTTGTCCTTGGGCAAGGCACTTTATCTGCATTGCTTCTCTCCACCCAGGAGATAAGTAGGTACCTGGTAATTTTACTACAGTACATCGTGATGACATATTTTGTTGCTAGGCCAAGCTGAACGCACACAGCGAATGTAATAAATCTCTCACTACAGCGCTGGCTACATGAATGAAGCCCAGACCGTCCTAGGCAAGGCATAGAAAGGCATAATAGCATGAGATAACCAGGTGATTGATTTATAAAAAGAACTGAAAAAATATTGCAAAGCTGAAATAATTCATAATAATATTTACAATACCTGTCTCTTATACACATCTAGATGTGTATAAGAGACAGATGTTATACCATTCATTATCTATTTATGTATTTAGACATGCATTGTCATATTTTTTCCAGAAATATTGAGCAGTGATATCTACAGAGCCCATTGATTGTATTAAAATAATGATGTAAAATTTTCTATCTTTTTGGTTTCAGTCAATGCCAAATATAGACATACAACCCACAAAACAACCCCCAAAAAATATAGAAATAATAGAAGAAAATCAGGAGGAACTAGAAGAAGATAAGTTGGAGGTATATTTGTGTTTTTGTTGTTGGGTGGGGAGCTCTACTGTGGCAGAAAAAAATATAAAATTTAATTCAAAAGAGCATTTGCGACCCAAGATCATAAAAGGGCTGTAAACTAGACCTCAGGCCAAAATGAGTTTTTGTTTGGAAGCAAAGTTATGACCGTTTGAATAATTATAATCTTATCAAGTTTCTTAAATCAAGTAAAGCTGAAATAATCCATACTAATATTTACAATACATTGTATTCTATTAAATAAATGTCTACGAGGAGGTTAGGCCTACCTAATTACCCCGAATAAACTTCATTAACCAGGGGTGGATCCAGAAATTTCAAAAAGGATGGCCCAGCTTTCCCCCCCCCCCCAAATCCGCCCCTGTTAACCACAATCAATTTATTCATCTTATTTCGAAAAGCTGTGCAAAGGTTGGAGGTTTTACGGTATATCAATAGTGGATTCATCGTCTTGCAAACCTTTTACTAAAATTATAATCTACTTTGCTCATGGCATTATTTTCATTTGGACATGTTAATAATAAATGTCACATAATTAAGGTCCGTAATGAAGTGCAGTGAATGATGGCTTAATTTCTCAGTCTGTTAATTACTGAATTAATGGCTTCCTGCCTCAAGCGAGTGCAAAACAGTAGCAGTTATGCAGGAAACGAGGCTAGGCCTTGAATAACAGATTTTATAAATCACACATGGGCTTAAAAAGGCATGCTCATTCAGAAATACCACAACAAGCAGCGTGATTCGTCTGTACACGTACAGGAATCAGTCGCATTAACTCTCAATCAGCGTCTTAACTCATTAAGTCGCTAACATGTGGCATGTAGCCAGCAAGTTCCTCCTAACGAAATCTCCAGCCAGTCCTAGATTTTTTTAATACGGACACCCGCTTGTCAGACACGCCAATGATTGGAATATTTTAAACACCATTGTTCACCTTATTTTGTTGTACACATTACAGTGGACCTTAGCTGTCAATCACATGGTGCAACTCGCATTGAGTTGGCAGTAGCACGGCGTGCATCCTCTCCAAGCAGGATGTTTCCATCAGCGTCATATGACTTCACTCTGAATTACACCCACTGACATTTGTGGTCTTAATTCCACTAGCGGTCTGCAAAATCCTACTGCCCTCTTGCATAAACCATGCTGTCGATATAAATAGACCATTTTATACCCAAGCATCCTGAAAATTGAAAATCCAGGATGTAATCTAACAATCGTTCTTATTGGTCAAATTCTTCAAAAGGTGGGCGGAGCAACCTGTATGTGTTAATACAGTACCTGACAATGTTTGATATTTTCTATTTCTATGAACCTGTCTTTATTTCTAGGTTACTTGTAGCAGAATTGATAGGAGTTGTGATAAGCACTGATGATGGAAATGTCTTTGATTTAGACAGTTTGTCTCTGAGTTATATAAAGCCCCTGTTATATTTGACAAAAACATGTTACATGCCTGAATATGTTCATGATGACATCACATGGCCATATATAACATCATGACCATATATAGTCACATTATGACTATATATGGGCATATATCAAAAACATGTTACATGCCTAAATATGGTCATAATGACATTACATGACCATATATAGGCACATCATGACTATATAATATGAATACAGTAGTAATAATGGTCGACTTATAGAGCGCATATTATGGAGACCTTTATGTGCTTAATATAAACATGAAAAACGTACCAAGAAAGTACTGTAATACTTAATGTAACTATTCCTATTCCCTAAACTAAGAATCTAAACTAATCTAACTGTATAGACAAACTAATCCTATTCCTTAAACTAAGCATGGTTTGGCCATTGGCTCCGAGGAGCTCATCCACCCTTTGTTCAGCTATTTTTTTTTTTTATTGCTGCTGGGTGACCATTCACCTTCCTACCCAAAGGCCGTAGATGGGGGCTGTCAGTTAGTTGCCAGCGATTTGAGTGAATGCATTTTAGCATCATACCCAGGACAGGGCATGAGTGTGTGTAGTTTTATTAATAATTATGATTTTCCATCAAATTTAAAGGGATTTCTTCTAATGTCGTATAATTAGGCCAAGTAAAAAATAAATTAATTAAAATATCTATATAGTTTCCACCTGTTTTTTTTTTTTCTTTTTTTTTTTGACATAAATCAACAAAGCAACATTTATCAGTCTTTCCATGGTGTATATGACCTCAACCATGCCCATCATGACATCACCATGCAGCATACTATGATTTAAATCGATTTAATATTATATTTTCATTTTGCTTCTTGTGTATTTAATTGATTTAATATTACATTTTTCATTTTGCTTCTTGTGTATACTAATTTTGCTTGTGTTTACCAAATTTTCTATAGTTTTTCTATATCATTTCTTAACTTTATTTATTATTATGTTTTAACTGGATCTTAAGGAAGAACAATGTAAAAGTTGATTAAGTATCCAGAATAAAGAAAGATTTCTATCTATCTAAATATGCCTATATATGGTTGTGATATGATATACCCATGTGCAAATCTCAGATATTTGTCACCAAAATCTTAACCTCCATTAATAGTATTATACTGTATAAAAATGATAAATATGTTTTTGATAAGTATGTTTTCTCATATCGTGATTGAAACCCAAGAATTTCTTATTACCCTTAAGTTGCTCCGACTACGCGGAGCTAATTCAATCTCTGGGATTTTCTCGATTTAAATAGTTTTTTTTTTTCTATTTGAACATGGGTTTAAAGGTCAAATCTAAATTCTAAAGATAGGTTGTTGTTTTTTTTTTCTTAGGATGATACAATTGATGAGCTACCAGAACCAGGGATAGCAATTACTGGTCAGCCCCACCATGAGTCACAATACCATGGACCAGCTTTCCCTCCTCAACCCCCACCTCCATTGACAGAAGATCTCCCATCAAACGCTATAGCCTCAGATATTAGAAGGAAGGAGCTGCTTCAAAACCAAGCCGTTCAATGGTATAATAATTTTTTATTATACTATATAAATAGATGTCTGTAGGTCTATATATGGACACATCCAAATAAAAATATTGAAAACCAAGAATAAATGTTGTAGGAAACAATTGGTGAATGAGATACAAAATTGATAATTAGAAACAAAATATAAACATATGTATGCATATAATCAATACAAATTATATATCAATCAATGAAAAAAAAAAATCAATCAAAGTATTTATATAGCGCCAATATCCAGAAGTGTTCAGTGGCGCTGTCACACTTGCAGCGAATGCTCTTGATAAAAGGAAAGCTTTCAGATTGCTCTTGATGTGTGTATCTGTACGTGCATGTGTATTATCATCACACATTTAATATCATACATTGCCTAAAATGTATGTAATTTATCACAGTTATATTTTGAAATAATCCTAGTATTATTCGCTATGAACCCTTGTTTTTATGCTCTTTCTAGGATCGAACAAGAACTAATGGCACGAATGGTGAGTGACATGTACCAAAGGCAGGAAGATATGAGGGCACATGAACTGGAGGAAAGATGTGATGATCGGGAAGATAGTGTGTCCGAGGTTTCCTCCCAGGATGCATTTGGTAAGTCATTTATTAAACATTCTTCATTTTTAGAAAGTTTCTTTCGTGTGATATATCAATTTTCAGATGTCCTTGATTTATAGTTTTTCTTTAATTTGACTATAATCATCCCACTTCCTCATAATGGGCAATAATAATGATGATTATAATGATCATAATAATAATGCTAAGCTGATTTTGATAATTATTATTAATTGGTTATTATATATTGGCATTATAATGATAAATGATAAACCAGTATTTTTGTCTACTGCAGATATTTACGAGGCATAGGTTCAAACTGTAAAATTGCTAACTTACCTATTATACTTAAATGCATAAAGTTTTGCGAGATGACCCAGAAGCACTGAGGAAAGGGTGAAATCAAAATCAATTTAGTCAATACAGTAAACTACCCATGCATTCACCATTGCTTGGGAAATTGGCAATTATGATGACAAAGTGACAAAGACAATCACGTTGACAATAACAATGCAAGGAGAAAGTGATAGCAATCTAAACAGCCATAATTTGTTCCATCGACACGGTGCACACAAATTCTCCAAGCCTGCCTTCAGTGTTTGCTTGCATACTATATCTGTCAGCGGAGCAACTCCCATCGGAAAATAGGGATGGATAAAATGCTTGACCTCATGACCGGCAGTCAAAGACATTGCGCATTTCTCCTAAGGCATTTTTGGATTCTTGTTCGAGACAACCAATGTTGGGCTAGGCCTCCAATCCTTTTGTTCAGGTTACCCAGAGTAAAGAAGTAGTAAATAATAAACAGAATAAAGATGATGTTTTGTGAAGCTTTTTCTCGAAAATGTCAGAAAAAATGTTATTGGATATTTTTATCTTTTAGTGGATCGAGTAGGTGGTCCGGCGGGACTGCAGTTGTTTGTTGATGCAGGGCAACCAGTGGACCAAGGGCTAGTGGAGAACCTCATCAGAGAAGCAATAGCAGAGAGAATTGCTGCAACCCTCAGCCAGCAAGAGAAGGAGAGATCACCAATGAGAGAGGTTATCCAGGTTAATACTGAGAGTGATACAGAACAGGTATTATTAAATCAATGGATTAATGCTATTTTATGTATGAAATTTGTATCTCATTTGTGAAATTTATCTCTCAATGCATATTTCGCATTCTGTACTTTGCATCTCACAATTTATTGTTGCAATGTACATCTTACAATCATCATTAATAACAATAGCCACTGTCAACCCTAATTTGAAAATTGTCATTTTACTCATTTGAAAATCATATCTCACAATTCATATCTCATGAGATTTACATCTCATAACATCCATCTCGCTATTATGTATGAGATATAACTCTTCACAGTTTAAAAATCTCACAATTTTACACCTTGTTATGAGTTATGACTTCTTCTACACATCTATGCAATTTCCAGTTGGATTGGAGTTGAATAGCTTAGTGGTTAAGATACTTGCCTTCTCATCCCAGGGTCCTTGGTTCAGTTCCTGTCAGTGTTGCAGGATTTTTTTTCCCACAACCAAAACAACTCTACTCCCTAAACCTCATATAGTTTGTGTAAAGCATCATGTGTGTATGTTTGTCTTGTGAATGGGATTGTCACCTAAAAGTAGGACAGTGATATATTAGCCTTGCAGTTCATATCATATTCCATATCTTACCATTTGTGTAATTGGTGATCTTGCATCTATCACTATCATAACACATTATTGATGGTGACTTTATGTTTGACAGCCAAATTAATTTAGATTTTAGTAATGTCCATTTTTCCCTGAAATTCAATCTTAATTTATTATTGAAGTTTCTGTATGGAGTAATGTCGGAAATTCTGTGCTTATATTTCTGTCATTGTTATTAAGATTTCACCAGAGATTTATGATAGGATCTCAGAAATTTGATTTGTTCAATTTGAAAGTGAAAGACGTCCGACATACAAAGTTGAAATTGGACATTTCAATGAAAAATTCTTGCATAGTTGATAACATCTGTCATTTTGATGACAAATCTACAGTACTTATTTGTGAAACCAGTGATGTGACGTTGATCATTATGCATTTTGATTTTTGTGTGCATTATCAATGGTATATCTAACTGTTAGATAAATCAAACTTTACTTAAGCTCTGTCAACGCTATCAAATTTTATGTGACAAATAAATGTAATATGCCCATATATGGGTGTGCAACAAGGGCATAACCAGCAAGCTGTCTTGCCGTCTTTTGGACGGCCAACGATCATTTATGACACTTTTACCGTGACCACTTGGATGGCTTGACCTACTCAGCACGGCCTAGCCTAATTGGGTCTTGTCTACCTTTATTCAGGAAATTGTTTATGTTCCTTCTTCGAATCTATAGAATGTTGGATTAAACTAAAGCTAAAACAACCTTTATTGATTGAATTTACGTTGTTTTCAATACAATACACGTATGTCATGTTAAAAACTTTTTAAACCCTGCTGAAAAAAAGGATGGTTTTACTGTAAGTCCTCACAACCCATGCATGTGGCTCTGCAAATACAGTACTTAAGAGTTGGTTCCCCAAAATATTGTTCTTGTTCATGACTCCCTGGTTATAATTAATTCATAAAATTTAGTAATGTTAAATTTTGATAATCAACAAAATACAGTAGGCCTATGCCTCTACATCACTTGATTCAGAGGACCTAGATTAGAATTTACACTAGACTAGGGGAGGATGAAGATGCATCTGCATAGCCTAGAAAAATAATGTGAGTAAGCAACCATGGCCGTGTGTCTATATAACTGAAATATCTTTGTGATAGCTAATTCAACACTATTCCTTTGAAGACAAAATTCCAACATTTAAACACCTTTAAATGCACTCTAAAGGTCATAATTTTTCTATTTTGTTCTTGCATAGGATGGGGACAAACTCTGTAGATCAAACCCAATACTATTTTAATTTTAATCATATGGGAAATTTAATCATGATGGGATAAAAAGTGAAGTATAATGCAATCTGCCCTAGCATCTTAATGCATTGATGTTTATGTTTTTAATCTTAAATTAGGAATATGTAAAAGGACCAATTAAAACACCTGAAGTGACTCCAGTGACCACTCCAGCAGGATCACCCCCAGTAAAGAGATCACTGCCATCCACTCCTGCTGAGACACCAACTTCATCAGAAAGTGAGAGTGTGCAAGAACTCATGGTGTCCATGCCCAGAGAAATATCAGCAACAGATGATGGTAGGTCAAAAGGATTCACCCATGCATGACATCATATGAAGTCACAGTGAATTTGTGAATATACTTTGATAAACCAACTTTACCTTTGTGGAACTAAATCCCACATTCGTTGGTAAGCAAAACACTATGTGATCTCGCATAAGTGGTAAAAAAAAGTGACGTACAATTCCATCTTTTAAGTAAGTTAGGCAAATCAAACATGGCATATGTTGGTTCATACAGCACTTTAATTATGTTTTATGTAAACATTTTTTAATTATTTTTAATTGCTAATTTTTTTACATAGACTTAGCGGCAACTATTGCTGGTCCTGCAAGTCCTGTGAGGACACCTGTGCAGACACCACCGCCATCTCCACCATCAAGACCATTAACACCAGATGCATCACCACCCCCTCCTGTGTCCCCAGCTGCAGAATTACAGTCAACAGCTAGCCTTGAAAAATCACCCAGCCCAGAGCCTTGGACTCAGGAGTCGCCTGTGGCAGAAGAGGCATTGTTGGATCAGACTGGAGAGGCAAGCCCTGCCCAAGGGTATGTTACCAGCCCTCTCGCCCCAGGATTTTTTTAAGAGTGGCGGAATTTCAGAAAATGTTGTCCACAAAATTTAAAGGGTGGTGCGCGAGGTGGATACATTTTTGTACGGTACTACTTAAGGTGACGGACATGACGCGGTATGACCCGTGTCCTACAATTTCAATTTCATTTACTCGATAGGCCTACCTGTAATTTCATTTATTAATGCAAATAATTACAGTGAAGGATCCAGGAATTTTAAATAGAGGTGGGCCCACAGAGGGACTTCACAGATTAGAGTGTCTATATTCCTACTTCCTCAGCCCCACCCTGGTTGGGGCTCAGGTAAGAAAATCTATGATTATGGCACCTCTAGATGGCCGGAAATGGCTCTCTTCGACTCGAAATTTGAGTAGAATTTTCTTTTTCTCTCAATTTATTTTAAATTTTGAAATATGTACACTTAAATGATGAAGAAACGGAAACAATTCATCAAAACTAGTACCTACAAGATGGAATCTGTTATAATACTGTACAAAGATGCGTACACTAAGTGTTGATGGGGGCTAAAAATTTAAACATTTTCAATCGTGTTAAATTAGCATTACCATTTTTTTTTTTTTTTTTTTTTGGAATACCTAGCCGAAAAAAACATGATTCACATTAAATTCACATAAATTCAATTAATAGGCCTAAATATTGTTTTATCAATCACCGTTCATAAAAAATTGACACTTCACTAAATATATTGTGATCGTCACGTTTGTATGGTACTGTACTGAACGCGCAATATCCCATCTATTAGCCGACCAGGGACCACCTTCCTGAGTTCACAGGTACCTACCTACGCACAGTTGGACTTGCATTGAAGGCGGTGCCTTACGATGTGCGATTGAACAAGTATTGTTCACCATGAGAACGTTGTAGAACTGCCTGCAGTTCTACATTTCGGTATGTATTGTTGTAATGTTTTGAATAAAATATTTTTTTTTAAGCGTGGCACTAATATTTTAAGCGCGGTGCAATCTTTGCTTATTTTGCCTAAGCATGGCGGTCATTTCGTTTTTTCGCGCAAGCATGGCGGGACCACTACGCTTAAGTATAGCTGGCGAGACCCCTGGTTACTGTCATAAATAAACACCTATGTCATAATTCAAGCATTTATATAACTTTACCCTCTCATTTCCACCAGTGCCGTAGCTCCAGATTTGGAGAATGAACCAGACAGCCTGGCTCATGTGACCCCACTGCCATTGACTCCCAGTCCACTGAAGGCACTTCCAGACACACCAGTATATCAATCACCAGAGTCTTCTGAAAGCAGCGAGTCCACTCATGACTTCACAAGTACTGAGACTACTGACAGACCAATCTCCGAGGGCGAGTGGCTTAATGGACGCAGCGAAGGAGAAATTATTCCACGTAGGTTAATCTATGGCTTAAATTCTTCAGCAATCTTTATACACTCTCTGCTAATTTTTTAACATCAGAGGTGGTTGGTATTCAAGTTAAAAGTAAGATTGCACAGGATCTGTTTATCTTGGGGAATCCTTCTTTATAAATTTTCTTTATTATTGTTATTACCTATTTGGAATGCACTGTTATTTTCTTCACTTGAGGCAAAGTCATTCTTTGATTGACTTTTTTTAACAGTGTGTATAATGAAATTCAGAGAGAGTAGAAGGTGTAATGTACAGGTAACAGAACCTGAACCAATAATCCTGAGACTTAAAAAATGAAAGCCATAACCACCAGAGTAGTGATTGGTTTGAATGTTTGTTGTCATTGCCATTTCTACGTCAAACTGTAGAGAGAGCACATGCTTTTTTGCCAGCTCTGTCATGTAATTCTTTATGGCTGTATTAACAATTTGCTAATTTCCCCTTTAAAAGCATTATTGAAATATTGTTACCAATTTAGTTATATTCTGACAAACATGAATATATGAAGCCTGCCCTCTATAATATGACTGAATAATTTGGGATGATGGTGATGGTATACCCAACTATCAACCTAGCATTAATTATGGTAATTTAGTTTATCAAAAATCTTGTGTTAACATCTGGGAAACCTTTAAATATTCAATTACATATTAAATTTCCCAGAAATGAACAAATATGTTTATTTCTAGTGAGGCAGATTTAAAAAATTCAGTAACAATATTTACAGAAGTATAACAGAAGCAAATAAAAACCGACCAATCAGATATAGTCAAAATTAAAACTAGCCAATTAAAACGAGGTAATTAATGAGGTGTGTCTTGTATTATAATAATAATACACATTTTTAAAGCGCCTATTAAAGCAAACAAAACTGGCTTGTCACCGGCGCTGGAGGATGTTAGAAAGAAGTTGAACTATTTGAAGAGGAATGATTTAAGAGTAGATTTGAATAATTGCGGATCAGAAATGATACGTAATTGAGGAGGCAGAGAGTTCCAGAGCTTAGGAGCAGAGAAAGAAAAAGAGCGTTCACCTGTACGAATATGCTTGACTCGTGGAGTAACAAGTTTGAGGGTTTGAGAAGAACGAGTAAAACGGGAAGAAACCTGTTTGTCTATAAGCGAACAGAGATAAATTGGGGCACGACCATGGATAGATTTTTCGGTGAGAAGAAGAATTTTAAAAATGATTCGCTTATCAACTGGAAGCCAGTGAAGAATGTTTAAAATTGGCGTAATGTGGGTGAACCTTTTAGACAATGTTACAACACGAGCAGCAGAGTTCTGGAGTTTCTGAAGGTGTCTAATGCTACTAGCAGGTAAACCATTGAGCAATGCATTGCAAAAGTCAAGTTTGGATGAAATAAAAGCATGAACAAGTATTAAGTATATCACTTATTTTCATGAATAAACAATGAATAATCAACAATTATTCAACAATTTTCCTCAGTGATTCAGTTCTCAGTGATTATACGTCCATTATATCAGGTCTCAACTAGAATTGTTAATAATAATAATTATTATTATTTTTGTTATTGTCATTATTGTTATTTTTATTGTTAATTATAATAGTCGATGTCATTGTTGTTTTTGTTGTTATATGAATGTTGCTGTTGTTGTTGTTCAATGATAATGACACTAAGAGGAATTTGGGAATTTGAAGCACTAATGTATTAATAAACCGTAAACTACAAGTATTTCATCATATAAGAATATTAGTTGAAGGTCTTTCTAAAGTTAAAGCTACATTAAAACTTTAAAATAATTTGGAGGTGTTAAATGATATGTACCTGGATAGACATGTATGGAGGATTCTGTTGTTTTTTTTTTATTCAGGTAGAGAAGCATTGAATAATATTTAATTAGCCTCTCCAAAGGAGCGAAGCTCCAGGGAGTCTATTGTTCTTGCCTATGTACTTCTTCATGTTGTCGTCGTTTTTTGTTGTCACTGTTGTTGTTACCGCGATAACTAAAGTTTGGTAAGTCCGATTGGTTTCAAACTTTGCACAATGCAAGATGGTAGTAAGAAGACGGCACTTGTTGCTTGGTACGTGTGTGAATATGCTAATTGCTCATTTGCATAATTAATATTTCACTAATCAGAAAATCTAAACCAAGTTATAATTCCCAAAGAAAATTTCGAACTTAGGTGAAATTGTGATATTGTTTTCATGTTGTCGTCGTCGCTGTTGTAGTAACTTGTTTGTTACCACGATAACTAACGTTTGGTAAGTCTGATAGCTTTCAAACTCCTACTTATTAGTTTTCAGAGAAAAAAATCACACCATGGGGAAGGGGGAAGCTATGCTTTTACTGCGAAGCGTGAAAAGAGCATTTCTAGTTTTTTGTATGGCCATTTCATTTTAATAGTGATTATTAGTATGATAGTATTATCTGTATGCATTTATTTAATTATTATTTTTTTTAAATTATTATTATTAATCATTTGTTTCTTTTCTAATATATGAGTATTACTATGCCATAGTGATTGTTAATGAATTATTTATCCTTACAGGTGTTGTGAGGAACGGAGTTTACGTAAGCTCATCGGATGACACTGTACTGCAGACCGAAGAGATGGAGGATCTCACAATGGTTAGTATATTTTAATATTTACACCAAACACCGTGATCATGTATTATTTACACTATGTAATGGTTGTACTGCACTAGGGTCACATATGAGTTTCAAATAGTCAAATGCTTTATTAGAGCAATATATACCATAACATAATGGTTGGAACAAATTGGATTGGACATCGTTTAGTAGGTTTTCATAAAAAAGTGACATAGTTAATTAGGATAAAATATGGAGGAAACATATCTGAATAACAATTGAAAGTGACAATAAGATATGAATATAGAAAACATTTCAATTAATATGTTCTACTCAATATAGTGTTAGTAGGCTGATACATTGTTACAGTAGGTAATAAGGTTTATACAGTGTAAATAGATAGGAATAGATATTGAAGTGTATCCATTCTGAAGAGAGGCTGTTTAGTTGTGATAGCCAAATAATATAATTAAATGTTACATATGTAATTTTTTTTATCCTTATTACCATTGATTTATATTCTTGTCAATGACTCATGAACGCATACTCTGGTGGTTGGGGTATGCTGTACTTGAACTTATTCATTAAAGTGGAGAGTAGTTAGTGCTTTGTAACGGCAAGGAATAAGTGCTATACAGTAGGCGTACCAAGTAACAAGTAAATTAGTGATAAAAACAATAAAGGTATGATATGATCTATTTCATAAATACTTACCTGAGTAAACACACTACTGCCATATTTCTCTTTACTAGAACACCCCTTGAAAAGTAGTTGAACCTTCCGCCATATGAAGGTAATACTACTGTATAGGTTCTAGCAAAAGAAATTAAAATATACATACAGTAGGGATGCTACTTAATGCAGAGGTTAAGAAATCTGTGATCCATATTTACAATAAATTTTTAATGAAGCTTATCAGCTTGGCTGTTAAAATTTACTCTCTGATGTGTCTCCAACCCTCAAATATTCTATTAATACATCAAATTGCTCATATAGAATGATCACATTATTTATCAACTTCTGTTGAGACAGAAAAATAAAATGAGTTCTCACTAATGTACAGATTTTCTACTGTAGATAAATGTATTGAAGGTGATGGTCTGTGCGGGATCTCAGCATTCATCTAGGTGGATATTTTTTGAAAAGTCAGAGATGAGCTTTAGGACATCTTCTCTCATTCACAGGATTAATGAAGATATCATTTTTTTATTCTGTACATTAGGATGAGCCTCCTAGTGAGGGTGAGGTCTTGCCAAAGAAAGTACATTTCCATGGTGATCCTGTCCTTGCAATATTGGCTAGGATAAACCAACATCCACCGGGTCGTAGGTCACAAGCTAACCAGTCCATGATCGATAGTGAACTTAGCCTTGGTGAAGTTGGTATCAGGCAGAGACTTCATCCATCAATTGCCAATGATGGGTTACCCTCTGCAGGACATCTTAACCTTGGCAGGCATCACCAGCAATCAGACTCGGAAATGGAAGCTGGTGAAGTTGTCAGAAGAAAATCATCTATGAATGGTAGAACATCCCCTGGTGAGGTCATCCTAACTAGAAGAGAACCACAAATAGAAGATTTCACTCTGAGAATGTCTGAATTGAGGGTTCCTAACCCACACTCTAGGGAACCGTCAGCTGAGGCTCAAGTGGATGAGGACCCAAAGCCTCCTGATAAGCTGCCCAGTAAGATACCAGTAGCTAAGCCTAGAGTGATCCAAGTTGCCAGCAAATCATGGTCGCCACGGTCACCGGAAGCACCAGTAGGTAAGGGAGTTGGGAAGCATTCTGCAAGCAAGGAAGACCAGCCTAACGAGGAAGCCCCACCACAAGCCGGTAAGTCAAATAATAGCTGCATAAACAGATAAGCTGTCATTACTTAATATACAGTATGCATCTGTCTACTTAATCTGATACCTGCCCAGTGGCTCTCTATCCTTTACTACCTCTATAACTACATCTATATTAATTATTACTATATTTTTCTTTTATCAATTTTTGTATCATGTTTTTTTTAATAAAGTGATTTAAAGTATAGCAACGAACTGACTATACTATACCTAATTATAACTGACTATACCTAATTATAACTATTAATTGATGACTCTCGTCAGTCATGCTGAGGACCTGAGGTCAGGTCGAATTATTCATGTGAGAATAAAATTTGTGTTCTAAAAGTCTACTTAATTTCCTGTTTTCTTTCTATATTATATTAACTATTATATTTTGCTATGCAAAGCTTGTATCAACAAAAGCTGTAAAATCTTTTAGCTTTCTCTGCCAATTTATTTGCAGAGAAATTTGTTCTTTACATATTACATTTTCAGTTTCACTTATTTTAGGATGTCAGTGATCTATATAAGAAAATATGATGATTGATTCAATTTTCATTTTTAACACTATTATTAACATTTTATTTCTGAATGTATTTCACTTTTTCCAGCAGAGGTTGGCGGTACACAAACATTACAGGATTTTGATACACGAACATTGACGCCAGATGTGCTAAATATGGATGCCTACCTACAATCAGGATATCTGACACAAACTTTCAGCCAATCAGAGCCAGCCACAAGTGACTTTGAACAAACAGGCACTTCAGTTGCACAGAATCGAACAGGATTCGGTCTTTCTCAAACTCTAAGCAACAACGGAGGTGCAACTTTAAATATGTCACTAGATTCTTTGGAAATGTCACAGGATAAGTTGCAAAACGGGAAAGGAACACGGAAGTTTATGGTAACCCTACCAACAGCACATGAGCTTGAGGCTAGCCTGTCTCAAAGTGATGTAGAAATTGAAAAAGATGAGGATGAAATCAGCGATGTCTCTGAGATTTTTTGAGCTAAATTTGGCTTTTCATAGCTGCCAAGAATTTAAATATCTATCAGTGACTGCAGTGCTGTCTGTGATGTTTTACATCACCCACCCAGTGTCAGCACCAACAGAGGTCAGAACCAAGTGTCACATGATAGGATCTATGCTACATTAGAACCTAAAAGAAAGAGGTTTCAGATTCTAAATCATTCAGTATGAAATACTCTTTAGGCTTAGAGCAATTACTCAGTCAGGTTTTGGTGGTTGTTTCTTCTTTTGATGAAGGTAAAGCAGACCTTCTACTACAACTACATATCATGCTATTGCTTTTATTATGAGATATATAAATATATTTTACTTGGTGTAACCAGGAATAATTTATGAATATTTGTTGTACCCAAAATAATTGTACATATGTAATTTATATAAAGAAAAGCATAATTATTTAATTTTTACATTTATGCAAAAATATTGACACTAATAGCACCATAGAGATATTATCTATAATACCTCCATGATAATACTGATATTGCATTCCTAGATAGAAGACTAATAATAAACTAATAATTCCATTATTATTTTGCTTATATGTTATTGACTTTTCTACAACAGCAGAAAAGCTGTTCTGATATTTTATTTGTTTTTTTTACCCTCCACTTTGGCCACTTTCCGCACTTGGATCTTCTTCAAACTTTGTCCAAGCAAAGACCATACAATATATCAAAGACTTGCCCAGTAAAATCATCATTATAGATATATACTACTGTCTGTGTATCAACATAATTTAGTAATGACTGCCATCTCATTTCCTATGTTGATTTTATGTAGTTTGACTTCTGTTTGTATTTGTCTGGGTGTTAAAATAAAAGAAAAATATTTTCTACCCAAATCTAAGGGATGTGTGATTTTCAGCCAGTTTAGTGCCTAAGCTGCGATTCTGGTACTATTTACAGCTCTTTAGTTTACGTTATTATTATATGTTTACACATGAGTCATCAAAGATTTATGTAGTTGACTAATCTAAATAAATAAAATACTGTAAGTCATGATAAGCAGCTGCATGGAGTCTAGCAAAGGTTGAATACTTTCTTTGTCTATTGTTGACATTGTTCCTAAAAATGCTCCACAAATCAATCCTTTACATCTGGTCGCTAAAAAGTTGTCATTTTATTGATATTCTATATCGGGCCATACAATGGTATTGTAAGGTTGATTGTGTAATATAAAGGATACATTGCAAGCACAGGGCAAATCAACAGCAAAAATTTACACTGTACCAACAGTGTACAGTATTATAAACCAATAAATACTATCTAGATTCTGTTTGGGTATACACTGTTGAATTGATTTTCGGTTATTTCTTGATTTGCAATAAGATATATGTCAACAGTATTAAATAGTATGCAAGTTAGCATGTTAGGTAGCATGCACCATCCCAAGCCCCTGCAGCTTACATTATTCCCCAGGACAGGTTAAAGG